ATATTAGAACAAGAAATGTCATTTTATAGTGTTTTTTTTTGCAAGGGAAAACGGATTACAACAAAACAACCGGATCTTGATCAACTCGAATTACCTGAGGCTTCCTCACGAAAATGATGAAAACGTGGCTGCGGCCTAGGCGCGGCGGGGGGGGCGCGCACCAGGGGGCCCAACAATAATTATTCTTTAGAATTAATAATGTTCAACAACAACAACAACAACAACAACAACAACAACAACAACAACAACAACAAACAAACAAACAACAACAACAACAACAACAACAACAACAACAACAACAACAACAACAACAACAACACCAATAACAACAACAACAACAACAGCAGCAGCAGCAACAACAACAACAACAACCATTTTAAGGCTGTACGCTCTTACTTGCCCGCGAGTGATTCAACACGTATACCCTACACCCTCGATGCCCGCCCTCTTCGTTTTCGATCACACCCCTTTCGGGGGGATTATTTCTCTTTGCTGGGGCCGGCGGGCTTAGACGTACGGGCAAACCGGAACGGGCGGACAATCCTTCGGGGGCGTAAATCTCTCTGCCCGCCATTGGAATTGGCGCGGGCCCTGCAAGAGGAGGAGGGGAAGAACGAGGGAGAGTGGGAGGAAGGGGAGGGGGAAGGACGAAGGAAGAGGGAATATACCACGTTGTGAAGGCGTCCTTGGCGCGTGCGTGGTTCTTGAGCGCCGAAACGCAATTCCAGAATAATTTGTGAGGACGTCGCACGCGAGAGCGCAGTCCTGAGTACATTGTGAGGAAATCTCGGGCGGAAGCGGGGGCCCTGACTAAGTTGCGAGGAAGTCTCAAGCGGGAGCGCCGTTCCTGAGCAAATTGCACGGACGTCTCAGGCGGGAGCGGGGGTCCTCACTAAATTGCGAGGAAGTCTCAGGCGGGAGCGCCGTTCCTGAGTCAATTGCGCGGAAATGTCAGGCAGGAGCGGGGGTCTTGAGTAAAATTCGAAGAAGTCTCAGGCGGGAGCGCCGTTCCCACGTAAATTGCACGGAAGTCTCAGGCGGGAGCGGGGGTCTTGATTACATTGCGAGGAAGTCTCAGACGGGAGCGCCTTTCCTGAGTAAATTGCGCGGAAGTCTCAGGCGGGAGCGGGGGTCCTGAGTAAAAATTGAGGAAGTCTCAGGCGGGAGCCGTTGTTGTTGTAGCCCGGGGGGCAGGGGCACAGTTTGAGCAGGAAGACTTTCCTTGAGAAAAAACAAGGTGCGAGCCCGGGGGGTGGCACTTCAATCGAAAAAAATCAATGTGCACCGGTGGGGGGGGATCAACAATAATTATTCTTCAAGAATGAGAGTTCAACAACAACAACAACAACAACAACAACAACAACAACAACAACAACAACAACAATCACTTTACCCGAACGCTCAGTGTTATCACCAGTGCCAGGGTTTTCATGCGACGCCAGCCAATACCCCCACTTTGTGGGGGGGCAGTGCAAGCTCTACCAAATATCCACACGACTCTTCGCCACCACCCACACCCAGCTTCCGGCCCTATGACGTTCGGACACTTCACTTCGTGGCCTGCGGACGACTTTGGCTACTACACTGGCGCATGGGTACAGTGACTTGTCGTGGTAACATTTTGTGGAAGCTAGCTTAGTATACGACTTTTCCCCCTGTTCCAACACTGGACACCTGTACTGGTTTTTGGTGGTAACGTGTTCCTGACGCTAGAATAGGAAACCACGGTAAACCAGTACGACGCCGGTACTGTCTGTAGGTCCTACAATGATATGGACTCCTATGATTTTATGTTGCGCGGTGCTAAAATTCCTAAGAAACCCAATGGTTTTTGAAGATTTCGGCGTGCGCGCGCGAAGAAAAAACGAATGTGTCCCGCATGGTATTATTTGACAGGGATGATGGCCCTGCAGGTGCGCAACCGTTGTCGCAGAAGTTCGAAAAAGTTGCTCGCAAAAGCCCGTTTGACAGAAATGTTTAAAAAGTGTTGGGTTTCCTACGAATCCGCAAAGAGCGCGCGGGATGAGATTTTGACATTTTTTTGTTGAAAAACCATTGGTTCTTTGATGTTTTTATGTTAAAATCGCTCCGAACACTAAGCTTTTGGAAGGATTTCGTCTTGCGCGCGCGAATGTCCACTTTACCTTATTTTTGCAAGGGATTCTTGAAATTTGATTATATTAGAACAAGAAATGTCATTTTATAGTGTTTTTTGCAAGGGAAAACGGATTACAACAAAACAACCGGATCTTGATGACATCGTATTACCTGAGGCTTCCTCACGAAAATGATGAAAATGTAGCTGCGGCCTAGGCGGCGCAGGGGGGCCGTTCACCAGGGGTCCCAACAATACTTATTCTTTAGAATTAATAATGTTCAACAACAACAGCAGCAACAACAACAACAACATTAACAACAACAGTAACAGCAACAACAACAACAACAGCAGCAACAACAACAACAACACCAAACATGTTGCCATCGTAGGGGCGCGTCTGGTGCTCCCGCAAGCCCCCCAAGCCGCGGAGCCGCCCTCTCGTCGCCTCCCCCAGCTTCCGCCCACCGGAGGAAGAGGAAGAGGCGCCAACTCCGTCGGTGCTCGAAGGCAGGGCTTGGTCCGGGGCGCCCCCACGTGCGAGCTGGATAAGCAATACAAGTGTCCTCAACTCTTGGGGAGGGGGCACAAGTGAGGAGGGCCAAACACATTCGGGATATGGCGGGTCATTTCTGAAGATGCGCCAGGCACAACCGCCCAGATCGATTGTTCCTCATGCGGAGACGGGGGCCTCAATGAGGCTACGTCTCCATTCCCAGACCCACGACGTCCAATTTTTTTCAAAATGTCGACCCTCAAAGGTTGCGACCCATTCCCCTGGACCGGTTTTTCATCTTGAGTCGTTTTCTGACGGTCCCGAGGCCTGGTAAGGGCCCCCCGAGGCCGAAAACGTGCCAGACCCCCCCGTCATGTTTTTTCATTGCCCGTGGGGGTTTGGGTCGTCTGACTGGGGTTCGGGTTCTGTGCTTCTCTATGATAGCCGAGCGCGTTCCGCTAGTTACTCGCTAAGTAGCTACTCGCAAATGGCCTGGATCCGCCGCGGGGGATGTACGATAAATCTCATCGAAGCGAACAGATGCTTTGTTTCGTACGTTTACAAATAATCACTTTGCGAGAAGCGGAACGCGCTGGGTGAGCTGGAGGCGGGGAGAGCAGGCAGCCAAGTTACAGGAAGAAGAACTATGCACATACACCGATTCTGGCCAGGCCCATCCTGAGCCCAGGATCGGTGCATACGCCCTCCTACCTTGGCCAGGAATGCATATGCACCGATCCTGGGACAAGGATGGGCCTTGCCAGGATCGGTGCATGTGCAAAATTCTCTTCGCCCGACAAAAATCGCTGGGTCCTCAGAAAGGGAGGGCCGACGAGCAGAGGCCGGAGAGAAGGAGAGTGCAGGGTGCGCCGGAGCAGGGCGCGCCCCTCCTCCTCCTCCTCCCCCTCCTCCTCCTCCTCCTCCTCCTCCTCCTCCTCCTCCTCCTCCACCTAGCCTCGATCCGAGAACGTCCGCCCGAAGCCCAAGGCACAGGAAGAAAGACCCGAAGCAGCCCGGCGAAAGGAGGCGTGTCCGCGCCGATCAGAGAGCGCGTGGCCCGCAGAAGCGCAGCAAGAGGGCCTGCCCGCGTGATCTACAGTAGGACCTGGAATCGGCAAGACATCTCCGACAGATCGGCGAGATGCCCCAGAGAGCAAATCCGCACGTGCATGGGGGGTGGATCATCGGGCCCCCATGGGCAATCAACAAGCGGCCGGGGGTCAATGCATCCCCCCTGAGTGCTCCAACCCTAACGTTATCCCTGGGTACAGTCGGAGCTGGACCACTAGAAACCTTCCACAAGAAACCCAAGCCTGAGACCATGGGACGTGCATTGATTGTTGGTGTGGGACCGTCACGCTTTCCATAGAAGATCCAGTGTGCCCCCCCTGGGGGCAAGCAAGATGTTTCTTGGCACACGTTTCCACTGTAGGCACGTGCTGCTGGGCCACACGTGCGGCGGAGGCGATTCGAAATGCGTCGGTCGCTGGTGAAGGAGGGCGAGAAAGAAGACGACAATGCAGGGCACGCGGTGGGGAAGGGCTGGTGGAAAATCAGAGGGGGGCGAGGTCGAGGAGGACAGAAAATAGAGGGGGGTGGAGACGAGGGTGGAGGGAGCAAGATGATGACGAGGAGCATCAGGAAACACAGACGTCCAGACTACCTGCGAGTAAGAGCTGAACATACATCGGCTGCGAGCCCGCTCCGCGCTGGTGCTGTGCAACCCATGTGCCATGGCTCAAATGCAAATCTGGCGTGGTCCACGATGCACTGTCTAACAACTGTACAGGGATTTGACGGAGGGAGGAGGAATAGGAAGGAGATGAAAACCGACGAAATTGGTGGACGATGAAGGGAACGCCGCGGACGAGAACATCAAACCTGGCACTCGGGGCGCAACAACGATTTAGAACTGGCACTCCAAAAAAAGCCTGCCCATACCCATCCACTGCAGAAGGTGGCTATCTTTGCATCACATTCCCGTCTGCGCCACTATCGTCATCCCCCTCGTGCCACCAGGGCCGACCAATACGGCTGCTGGAATCTCCAGAACGACTCGAAGACACCCCACCAGGTCTGAAAATGCCAAGAACAACTTTTGCACAATTACTTCAACAGCTCGGAAACCAAACAACATCCCGATTCGATCTTTTGCGGCCCTCTGGGCAATCAGGGGGTAACCGGCTGTCAGATGCCATAGCAATATCTTCACAGGAGGGGCGGTGTGTCCCATGTCAACGACCGTGCCACATGTTATAGTCTTGAGGAACTCAGGGGTTAGAAGTGCAACATATTCAAGTAGTCTGGGCGATCCTGAGTGTGCCGTTCGCTACTCAGAGCTGCTGGCGGTAAAACAGATCATGTGACAGCCCAGGGCCTAGGCGGACGACACATTATTTCTTTATAGAACGCCGCGCACATGTCACGATGTTCTTGGCACAAGTCTGTCTGTGACCGGGCATCACGAGCTCAGCCGTCGCGTCAGCTTTTGCCAGGCTTGGCGAGTAGGGAGCCGAACATGTATCCCAGAGGCGCTGCAGTGCCAGTCCACAGGACGACAGCCAGCTCCCAGTCGGTATTGCCCTGGTGTGCCTTGAGCAGCCCTCGTGATCCATGGTGGCTGGCGGCGCGGTTAGAAGAACGCAATCGTCCTCACGTCGATGCTCTCACGCATCTCTGCGCCAGCTGGGATATCTGGAGTCCGCTGGCCCTTTGCGGGTCTCCAGGCGTCTGCAGACGAAGGGACCCCAAGAGGCATCCAAGATGCTTCTGACACGCAAGAATGGGTATGGTGGCGGGATGGGCCGACGTCCGTCAGGTGCATTCAAAAACCCTCTGGTCCATCACCGGGGCATAATCGTACCACTTCTGTCAGTGGATTACATTACTGCTTTGTCTCCCATCATCTTTCCCCCCTTCTCTTCATTCTCCTCCTCCATCTCATTCTTCTCATTCACGTATTCGTCGTCCCCCTCCTCGCTCTATCCCCATCCTTGCCTCTTTCCAAGGAGCTCGGTAAGCGCAGCGCCATTGCAGACTCGATATCGCTGATGATCACCAGAACAGGCAACCTTTGCACGATTTTTACCTTCTTAAGGCGCCATTTTGTCGGCGCGCACGACGTTGCCCCCTGCCACGGAAAACGCAGACTTCGGAAATTGTTGTTTACACGGGCCACTGCGTTGATACGATTGCCAGCTGCACGCCGTGAGCCCGAGTTCGTTGCAGCCTGCGCGCGCCACTCGCGCATGATTCTGGAAATCGTGTTCTTCCTGTTTGGGGTGGAAGTGCCCCTGTCGCGGAAACTTATTCGAACACGCCGCGCTCGTCAACTCTCCACCGTATCTTTTCATCAAGCACTCCCTTCTCTGAACACGTTCCACTCACCACTCTGTGGCCCTTCGTCGTTCGCTGATGTTCCACCTGTTATTTCTCAACATGCTCCGTGTCCGAACAAACTGCACCGTACGCCACGCACGTCAATTCACGCTCCAATCGTTTCGCCGCGTCGGCCACGCCTTTCACGGTGAACCCCCTGTTCCTCATCTGCCCCGCGGACCAATCTGGATCCGTGCATGTTCCGATGGTCCTCCACCTGACAGTGGTTCACTCACATGACAAATCTCCAAAGAAGTCAACCCGCACCCTGGCGCGCAACAAAGCAACGGTTCCGCTTCTGCCTCCGTCTGTCGCTCGCGAGGATCCTACTAACAATCACCCCAAACGAGCCCATCTGGGGCTCTTCAGGGACTGCCAGGTTTTCTCCCAGGCCATGGGGGGGCCAACAACGATGCATCTGCGACGACGACAACAATGACAACGATTGATCTGCGGCACCCCGACCACCGACATCGGGACCCGCTTCCGCCCCGCTGTAGATGGGCCACTGTTGATGGTGGAAGGCATCCCCTGGTCTCCCCTGGATAGTCCCCAAGATGCCCATTTGAGGCCGCCAATAACTCAAAGGTGGTCCATTGGGCACCCCCTGAACGTCCCAAGGAGCCACGACACCCGCAAAGTCGAAGCGACGCACTTGGAAAGGGTCAGCGGATGTGGTGCAAGCCTGTAGAATCTCGAAGGCTGTGTGGAAGGTGCAGGTGGTGGGCACAGTCGCGTCGCGACCAGGAGAGGCAAAAGCCTCTCCGGCTGAGTCCCATGTCTTGAAAAGGAGGGCCTCCTCCCTCCTCAGATCGGGGAAATAAACCCACTCCTGGCTATCAGAATGGCCCGCGAAATAATACTCGTTCACCTTGCGTCCATCCGTGGCCCTGAACGTAATGATATCGTCCAGGGGCATTGTGCACCCCTTGCACACCGCAAAGGGCTGCCTTTGGACGGGCTCTGGCTTGATGTTCCTCCACACGTTCACGATCATGAAGCGCCCAGCCAGGAAGCTGTCTGCCTCCTCGGGGGTTATGAACGACTCGAAGCCCAGGAGCGGCTTCGGCGTGTCCCACATGTGCGGCGGCCTGGACCAAAATCAAGGGGCATCGAATCGGGAACTCTGATTGATACGGTATGTTCGTCGGATCGGGCTGCATCCGCACGAAGCCCATATCGAAGTCAACCGCACCTGGATGCGCAACGGCGACGTTCGAGCCGCAACGGACCGTCGGAACATCAGACCACATTGGGTTGATGTGGTCGAAACCGCTATCGGATCGGATCGATCGAATCGAAATGGGCCCATGGCCTGGACAGCGTGCGAACCTGGCGCGTGGCGGACGCCGCGGAGTAGTCGCTGTGCACGGAAAAGAACGGAGGGCAGACGTTGATGCCGCGCCCGGCCCTCTTGTGCTTCGCGGTCGGCTCCTGCGCCCGCATGTAGTGGTCGAAGGCGTACACGCGGCTTGCGCCCGAAGCCTTCTTAACCTGGAGGGAGAGACATGTGCGCAAACATCGATGTTTTCGGAGATCCCGCTCCCCCGGCGCGCGGAACGCGCCGAGGGCGGCGCCAGCGGGGCCTGGCGCCGACTCGAGGCATTCGTGCGGACCTCCGAAAGCTTATGGTGATGCTGGATGTTCCACTTCGGCTACCAGCTCACAGCAAGCGGGATAGTATTCCTTCAAGATTGTTCTCTCGTTATACAAGTCAATGTCAGCCATCGGGTCGTCGACAAGGGTGAAGCCGTGGTCGTCCATGCTCCACTCGTGCCCGCGACCGATCAAGACGGGCACGTCCTTCTTCACCATGTCCGTGCCGAAATATTTGCCATCCTTAGAGGAGCGAAAAGAAAACAGGACACCCACATACACGTCGTTCATTTCTCATCGTGCTTAATTCTAAGTGTGCTCGTTTCTACGTGTTCCTGGCCCCTTGCGGCCAGGAAGAAGCCCAGGATAGAATAAATTAGAATTGAAAGTATCCTGGCCCGCAAAAAATGAAAGACCTTCCGAATACTTAGAAATGAA